ATACAGAATGGTTTGACGGCTTCAGGGCTTCACGGCGGAAAGGTTTACGGGCTCAAGAAGAGGCTAAGGGCTTCAGGGTTTAAGGGTCGTTTCAATCATTCAGTGTTTGGAGGCTTCATGTCTTCAGGTTTCAAGGGCTTATGGGTTTAGAAGGTTTAGGTGCTTAAGGGTTTCAGGCCGTAGAGGGCTCAAGAGTTTCGGGGCTTTCGGTCTTAAGGGTTGAAGGATTTAGAGACAGGGTTCAGGTGATTGAGGGCTTAGGGCCTTAAATGGATGAAGGGCTTGAGGGCTTAAGGAATTGAGGGCTTACGGGCATTAGGATTTAAGGGGCTTCAAAGTTTAAGGTGTTGAGGGTCTACGGTTTCATCATCATCATCATCATCACCACCACCACCGCCACCACAGCCATCGTCATCACAACGGCCACCGCCACCACCAACACCAGCATCATCATCGTCATCAGCATCATGATCAGCAACATCATAAGCAGCATCATCGTTATAGCCATCATCGTGATCTGTTGGCAATCATCGTCATCACCATCCTTCTCCTCATCCTCCTTATCTTCCTCCTCCTCGTCCTCCTCAGCATCATCATGTCCATCGCCACCAGCGTCAACATGATCATTGTCTCCACTTCCACCAGCATCATAACCATCATCGTGATCATCATCATCAACATTCGCATCAACATCAACATCATCATCCTCATCATCACCATCCCCGACACCAATATCAACCGCATCATCATCACCACCAGCATCATCATCACCATCATCATCATCATCATCATCAACAGCATCGTCATATTCATCATGATCGTCACCGCCATCGTCAAGTTCATCAACATGATCATCACCATCCACATCACCATCCCAAACATCAGCATCGTCATCACCACGTCATCACTACCATCATCCGCATCATCATCAACATTAACATATCGTCGTCATCATCACCACCAACATCATCATTATCATCATCGTCACCATCAGCATCATCATCATCATCATCATCACCAGCATCATCATCATCACCATCACCATCGCCATCACCATCCCCATCACCACCATCATCATCATCCTCATCATCACCCCCATCCACATCCTCATTCTCAGTCTTACCATCAACATCATCAGAATCATCATCATTATCATCATCAGCAACATCATCATCACCATCATCATCATCATCATCATCATCATCATCATCAACGTCAACGTCATCATCATCATCATCATCAGCATCAGCATCAGCATCATCATAATAATCATCATCATCATCATCACCATCACCATCACCATCACCATCACCATCACCATCACCATCACCATCATCATCATCATCATCATCATCATCATCATCATCATCATCATCATCCCACTCATGCGTCGAATGGGCGACGGGCCGCGCGGATTGCTTGGATCTGCGCCAGACAACCCTCCCTGGCGCGCGGGGCGCTCCAGGGGGGCGGCACCAGAAGCGCCGAGAGAGGGGGGCCAGGCGCAGATCCGAGAACTGCGCGCCTAGCGCCAAAAACTTATGGCAATGTAATGGGTTATTCTTCGACTCTTGACCCCTCTGGGCGAGTCGTCAGACGTGGATATATGGCGTCAGCGCAGGCGTCCTGACCTACTGGCGATCCCGCAACCCCCACTTGTGACTGCATTGAAATGATGGTTATGTTTTTTGTTCTTCTTCGGTTCTTGACCCCTCTGGGGGGGGCCGACCCGGTCGTATGCAGACGACATCGTCATCGCGAGGGGCGCCGACGCAGGTGGCTCCCCCACCGGGGGGGAACGTGTGCCCGGCAATTTTCCAGAAGCTCCTTCGGGAGCTCCTGCCAAAAGTCTCCTCTCTTCTCTCGGAAGGCTTTTGGACTTTGGGACAGCCTTCTGGCGCTCCGCTATCCGGGCTTTGGACTTCACACGTGACCTTCTGAAGCCGACTCCACAAATCTGGGCTTTGAACTTCACAACTAGGATTAAATCCGGCGCGTCCCCCTACAGGGGGATTTTCGACGAACAATAAAAAATACCACCACAATACCCCAAAGAGGTCAAACATATCAAAAAAATAGTCCCCAGACTATTTTTGGACTATTTTTGAATTATGTTTGGTGTATCTTTTGTTTTTCGTCGAAAATCCCCCTGTAGGGGACAGGTCCGACTTAAAACTAAGATAGAAAATCACGCGAGGGGCGCCAACGCCAGTGGGTCCCCCAGCGGGGGGCCCCGCGCGGCGCGGCCGGAGGCCGCCGCTGCTGGGGCGGAGGCGTAGGGCATGCGGCAGGCCTCCGCGCGGCGCGTTCCGCGGCCGCCGGACAGGGAAGGGAACCACAACGAGGGGGGCGGCGGAGGACTGAGGCGTGCAGAGGAGAAGGCAAAGGAGAAGGGAGGAGGAGAAGAGGAGGAGGAGGAGGAGGAGGAGGAACAGGAGGAGGAGGAGGAGAAAGGGGAAGACGAGGAGGAGAATTTTTGGCCGCAGCGCAGCAAGCAGCCCACACGTCACCTCGGGGGGAGGCCCCCGAGGCGGAGGAGGAGGAGGAGGAAGAGGAGGAGGAGGAAGAGGAGGAGGAGGAGGCGGAGGAGGAGGAGGGGGAGGAGGAGGAGGAGGAGGAGGAGGGAGGAAGAGGAGGAGAAGGAGGAAGAGGAGCAGGCTGCGCGGCGAGAGCCGGTATGTCCCCGAGCCGCAAAGCTGAGCTTGGCAGTGCGGAGCGCTTGCCCACGGGCGTGCCGGCGACGAGAGGCCCGACGGACCCGAGAGGGCACGCCGCCCAGACGCTAGCCTCCCAGGCGGAAGCCGGGCCCGACCAGCACGCCGCCAGACAGCGAAGGCGGCGGCCCACGAGGGCCCCGACCACCCGAGGCGACGGGGCGGGGCAGGGGGTTCCAGGCGGGCCCCGCCCCCCGCACCGGGGGAGCCAAGAGGCGGTCCCCGCAGTGCCCCCAGGCCCGAAAGGCCGGAGGAGGAGGGAGGAGGAGGGAGGAGGAGGAGGAGGAGGAGGAGGAGGAGGATGAGGAGGAGGAGGAGGATCAGGAGGAGGAGGAGGAGGAGGAGAGGAGGAGGAGGAGGAGGAGGAGGAGGAGGAGGAGGGAGGAGGAGGAAGGAGGACGAGGACGGGAGGAGGAGGACGAGGAGGAGGAGAAGGAGGAGGAGGAGGAGGAGGAGTAGGAGGAGGAGAGGGAGAAGATAGGAGGAGGAGAGGAGATGAGGAGGGAGGAGAGGAGGAGGAGAGGAGGATGAGGAGGAGGGAGGAGTAGGAGGAGGAGGAGGAGGAGGAGGAGGAGGAGGAGGAGGAGGAGGAGAGGAGGAGGAGGAGGAGATGGAGAGGAGGAGGAGGAGGAGGAGAGGATGAGGAGGGAGGGAGAGGAGGAGGAGGAGGAGGAGGAGGAGGAGGAGGAGGAGGAGGAGGAGAAGAGAGGATGAGGATGAGGAGGAGGAGGAGGAGGAGAGGAGGAGGAGGAGGAGGAGGAGGAGGCAGGAGGCAGGAGGAGGAGGAGGAGGAGGAAGGGGAAGACGAGGAGGAGGAGGAGGAGGAGGAGGAGGAGGCAGGAGGCAGGAGGCAGGAGGAGGAGGAGGAAGAGGAGGAGGCAGGAGGCAGGAGGCAGGAGGCAGGAGGAGGAGGCAGGAGGAGGAGGAGGAGGAGGAGGAGGAGGGAGGGGAGAAGCGCGACCCTCCCGCAAGGGCCCGCGCCCAGTTTGAAGCCAAAGTGGCGGCGCCGAGTGCGCCTTTTTCGGCCCCGGGTGTCGAAATAACACTTGTTACAAGTAAGCGATGTGACTCGTATGTTTTGCACCACCGCGGCACACTGAGCACAAATGCTACACGTACGGATAGCTAGGAGTGGCGAAGAGAAAACCATGGACACAAGATCCCAACATCGTCACTCCCAAAACTTAACTGTTCGTAAAAGACTCTTGAGCTATCGGGCGAAACCGTCGAGCACGCTTACAGCACACAAGAGAGAGGAAGGAGGAAGAGAGGAAACAGGAAAGGGGACAACTGCAGGGCTGGGCTGCCCGCCTGGTCGTCATTCACGAGGAGCTGCATGCTCAGCGTGATCTCGAGGCTTGGACTTCCCAGCCCTGTCCTCTCCCATGCTCACGTCGGGCTTGCAGGACGGCAGCGGTGCCGTCTCAAAGCCATCCTCGATGGAATTCGTGAATTCACGCAGCTCCGGTTGACACTCGAGCTTGCTGCGAGACTCCTGTAGGATCTCTCCGATGATAACCTCCTGCTCGGAGGACAAAGCTAAACGACGGGACGTCCAATCTGACGTCGTCACATGCTGAAACCCGTGACTGTCACGATCATGGCTGTCCTTTTCCTGCTTCTTGACCTGCTCCAATGCCTCCTCAGCTGTGGTAGACTCCTCGTAGTCGTGAGCGGCCCATTCCTTCAGCGCATCGATGGCAATAGAAGCAGCAGTAGGTGCACCAGCAAACTCACTGTCGTCGCCTGATTCGATAGAGTTGGTGAAACGATTCTCGAGGTCGACCAGTGTGATCTCGGCCGCATCGATGATCGCCGCTGGCCCGGTGATCTGTACACGCTTGGTCGTTAGTGTGTAGGTCAGGCCGATCTTCTGATTGTCGTACTTGGAACCCAGCAAGACACTCGCATTGATCTTGGCCTTGGTGGAAGTTTGTTGTGGACCACTGCCCCCAGCGGTGGACGCATGACCCAAAGTGGTCAAGAATGTGCGACACGTGTCGTGATCGTCAGTAGCCATGAAGTGCACCATCTCTGAGCACCGCGCAGATGGCCGCACACGAAGTGTCTCAAAATGCTTGAGCCACAAGCTACATAAAAGACGTGCTTGGCATCGGTGTTGGTTGCTCCCACAGAGTAGACACACTCGTCGCAACTCCTTTTTCCACCAAACAGGCCAAAACGCACATGCAGGTATCTCTGAAACACGAGAACAAAAACTGCCCACGACTGAGAACAACAGTCCCCTCTGCGGAGATGTCACTTCTTGATGGGCTTCCTCTGCTCCCGCTCCGTCTTTGCCCAGTCCAGCATGAGACTCTCCTCGGGGATCTGGTAGCATCCAGTCCTGATGACACCCCTGAGCAAATAACACGTCTCAGCAGTGTCTTTCGTCAAGCCATCCGCCATCTGGCGGTTGGTGGGCGCCCACCTCAGTGTTGTTGTGGCTCGATCCGAACCTTCTCGAACAATAACAATGTCCACGGCAACTCTGCGATCTCCGACTGTGGGTGGCGATGAGGCGCCAGTGATGTGGTCGTACACGCTCTTACAGTCGGTCACCGCCAGGCAGGGATGTCGACCTAGCCAGCGCTCACGCGTCTTGATGTCGAAGTCCGCGTAGAGGGCCTCGGCCAGATGGCACAACAACCATTCCAGGTGACCAATGCCATCAGACAGAGCCTGTGTCTCACCTGCCAAGGTAGAACCCACCACGCGTTTAAGTCGGTACGAGCGCCAAACTGCCGGACTCCAGGGCGACTTCTTGCCCTCCGCCATCTCACGGGTCGTGACGGCCAGAATGTACCCAGCCTGAGTTCCGTTCTTGGCAGCGTTCAGGAAGGATGCGTCACTGTGCATGATGATACACAGCTCCTTAGGCAGGATGCTCTTCACGACTAGTATCATATCCTGATGTTGAAGTAGCCGTCGACAAGTGCGTTGGTCCGTCTGATCTGCCCCACAGTCGGTCGGGGCAACGCTTGTTGTCCCTGGGAGACCTGCACGCCCGTGTCTGGTCGTGTCTGACTGCAGAGCCAGCCTCCCTGACCAAGTAAGCGTCGAAGTCCGGCAACTTCCGCTTCAGTAGCTAGTGCATTGTCCGCGACCCGTCGTCGAACGGTCACTGGCTTGAGCTCCTGGTAAGGCGTGGTCTGGCGGATGGAGATGTCGAACGTCTTCGGGTCCTGGTGGAGAACACTGCCGCAGTACTCGCCCTCACCGACGGCCCACTTTCGGAAAGGGAACTCCCCCTTCAATCTCTGCACCGCCCCATGGAAATAAACGCCCCCACCCGCGATCAACACATCGTCAACATGGACCACAAGGATACCACAAAGCTTACATTGAGCATCACGAAGGAAGAAGAGGCAGGGGTCCAAACGTGACTTTGACCACGGCCTGCCCTCGTGAGCCGTCTGATCTGTAAGCCAACCTGATATCTTGGAATACCAACGGCAAGGAGCGTCACCCAAGCCATACAGGGGTAGCACAAGTTCCACCACCTGATCAGGATGAAGGCCAGGAAGACCGCCAGGTGGTTGCTTCGCGTAGAGTGGTCCATCTGGTCGTTGTAGTGGGTCGCTCTCCATAAAGGCGCCCCGGATATCTCCGATCTGAAGTCGCCATTGATGAGATGCAGCCAGCTGAAGTGTTAGCATTCGAGCGGTCTGCGATACCGTGGGTGCGGCCGTCTGGTTCCAATAGACGAGCTTGAGAGCGTCCGGGCCCTTGAAACCTCTGGCAAACCAACGAGCCTTTTACCAACTCCTTGCCGTCGGAGTCGCGCTTGATGGTCAGGACGAAACGTGTGTCAACGAGTCGATCAGGTCGGGTACGCTTGATCTCACCTGACTCCTTCAAACTGCACACACGTACGGCATGCTTCTCCTGGTCCACGGTCTGCCACTCTGTCATCTTGGCGTTCAGGATCTCCTCGATGAGGTCGGGGCGGAGCTTGTCAGTGATCTCCTTGCGACCCTTCGCCAGCAATGCCTCGTAGCAGGGCTCCCCGGTGCGCACCATGGAGGTCAGGCAGACATCAGCAGTGATGATCGCGCCCTGACCCTCCGTCTCAGCCTCTGCCACTAGCTCGTCGTGCTCAGGATCGGGGTCCAGGAGCGCCCGCCGAGCATCAGCTGGCCGAGTCGGAGACTCCTCGACTGCAGGCTGCACAGCCGTAGTAATAGCTTGACCAAATGCCACCGATGATGTGAGACCCTCAGTCGGGACCGCTGTCTTCTCTCTCAGGCGTTCCAAGGGCTTACCCTCGATGTCGAACACGCGCCGGGCGACTAGGCTCGGGTCTTGCAGCTCGTCGATATTTTTCTTGGCGGCCTGGTCCACCTCGAGGTTGTTGCCCCCGGGAGCTGGAACCAACACGTCGTCAGTCGATCCAGCATCAGGCGGAGGTCGGTCCGCAGGTAGAGCGGGCCCGAGAGGTAGCGCAGGCTCAGGGCCGACAGGCAGAGGTGCCGGCACCACGATGACGCTACCTTCGCCCGATGGTGCCGGAGCCTGTCCTTGATTCTCAGCAGGCAGGTCCACGTAGACCGAGTTGCCCTGCTTTCCTTTGAACTTCTCTTGGGCGGCCCTGAACTCTTGACGCACATGCCAGTCTGCCCGCTCCTCCTCTCGGGTAGCATGTCGAAGGTGTTCGGGAGCCGCTCGAATCAGGGCACCTGCGTGTGATTGCCAATAGTGACCCTTTTTCCTCGCCGAGGACCGTAGCCCTTCCATGCCAACGTGCATTATTCTTGCCATCCTTCTGCCGACCCTTGCCTCGACCTCGCCGCCAGTAGGCCACCCGATCGCCTGCTCGAAATTCTCGGAAGGGACGGGGTCGAGGTTCCAGAGCCGTTCTCATGGCCTCATCGTCACTGTACATCAGGACAGCCATGCGGGCGGCAGTCCGAACAGCCGCAGCCCGCTGGTAGACGTCGCTGCGTAGCGCCAAACTGTTCGCAACAATGTCCGGTGAGTCCTTGAGAAGGTCGGCCGGGAGAGGAGGATCACGCCCGAACACGCGTTGGCAAGGGCTGTGCCCATGCTTCCTCAGGAGACGGTTCTTCTGATCGCAGACCATGCCGACGCATTGCTCCCACTCCTGATGGTTCTTCGGCTGGACAGTCCCGATCACCTTGCTCAGGATGTTGGCGAACCAGGAGCCATGTCTCTCAGCCTTTCCGTGTAACCAGTGAGCTTCGCCTGGGATGACGTCAAAGTCCATTCCGTCGCACTCCAGCACCTCGGACATGATGGCACCGGTGTTGGCCTGGGCCGAGTCACACTTGGCCCTGACCGGCGCTCCGTAGGGCCGTCGCCAGCCCACGTCCCAGGCCTTCCTGAGAGTCTCACCGTTCTCCTCATTACCCGCCAGCGGCATCATCTGTTGGAGAGAGCTGGCGCCATCCACGACATTCAGAGCGGCCCAGGTCTTCCCAGAGATGTAGTACGGCAGCTCCTTGACGTCGAAGCCCACCTCGGACAACGCCTGAATGTTTCTGGGAAGCGCCGCTGGCCGTGGCAACTTGGGAGCTCGGTTCTGTTCGCATACGTCGCACTTGAAATCCCGTGCGATGGCGATGGCCTCCTCGGTCGCGTTGCCATGCTTGAGGATGCGGATCAGGTCCCCGGCCGCAGGGTGGCCAAGATTGACGTGGATCTTGCGAACCGCTGTCTCCAGCTTCCGCCGTCGATCTCGAGCTTCAGCTTGGGATTCTGGCGGCTCCTCCACGTCCTGATCGGCCTTCTTGCGCCTCTTGGACGTGGCAGACACCTCCATCATGAGAGATTCGTGAGTGTGGACCTCGACCAAGCCCTGCCAGAGCACGTCCCTCGCCTGCAGCGACTCCTCGACCTCCACCTCGGAAACCAGAACCGACAGCTCCTTGGACATCCCGCTCACGATAGCACGAACCAGTGCGGCGGGATAGCGCTGAGAAGCTGCACTCCGTCGTTCACCTCCAGCTCCTCCTTGAATCATCTCGTGGTTGAGGAGGCCGCGGCTTGCGTTCGTCGAGGCGACCCCGCCCTGCGCTGAAAAGGGCGCGCGGGACAGCCGCGGGGCAGCCGAGGCAAAGCGGGCTCTTGGGCGGCATCGCCGCGGGACGCCGCGACATAGCCGCAGCAGCACGACTGAGGACGGCTGCGCAGCTGCAGCACTGCTGTAGCACAGCGACGGGGTAGCATGTCGGCGACACAGGGACGATCTTCCACGAAGGGGATATCCATAGGAACTACATCCTTGACAGGAACAGACACGGTCACGGACCTGGCGGACACAGAAAAGGAAAGCAACGTGAGGGCGAACGACAAGAGAGCGCCGAGACGGCACAATATGCACACGCAAGTCCGGGCATATATAACTCGGTGTGAAACGGCAGGTGCATGTGCAATTGAATGCATGCCCTGGTTGTTGAACAGGTGTAGGAAATTCCGGGGCATGTGATCTCTTACAAACATCAGTCAGAACAGGCGTCGGTAGGTCGAAACGGCGAGACACACATGGCCAATAATTGGAGGGCAGTGTGGAAACGCATGCGCGCGCGAGAAAACGCGCGCAACTGAACACGCACACACGAGAACGCGTGCGTGAATACAATGGCGCGCACATGAACTTTCACTGGAAGCGATCGGCGTGAATGGACTCAGGGAATCGCTTTGCCCCCCCATGCGTCGCCCTCTTCCTAAAACCATGGGTCTGAAGCTCTCCCCCCTCGATGGGCTAGAGCGCCTAAGATGGCCCAAAATGGCTCCGCGACGGCCCCAGAAAGCCCATGATGACCTCAAATATGACTCATGAGCACCCAACGTCGTTCAAGATACCTTCCAATTTGCCTCCGAGATGCCCCGCGGCCGCCCCAAGGCGGCTCCAAGTGGCCACGGCGCTCCCCCAGGAGGCCCCCGGGAAGCCCAACTCCTTTAATGACAATACTATGAACAAGTTGGCGTCGCCTTCTCGTTGTTCCGAGCAGTGTCCGCAGGCAGCAATGCAACTATAATGATGATACCGACTGTGTGGGGCCGGGCGGAGCGCCGCGTGCCGCTGGCATTGGCGACCGAAAACACATGTTCAAGTGTAATATGACAGCGCCAGACTGCGCCGGGACAGCCGCGGGACAGCCACGGGACAGCCGCGGGGCAGCCACGGGGCAGCCGCGGGACAGCCGCGGGACAGCCGCGGGACAGCCGAAGCAAAGCGGGCCGTCGGGCAATAAAGCTGCGGCCCGGGCCAGTAAAGCCGCGGCCCGCCGCGGGACAGCCGCGGGACAGCCGCGGGACAGCCGCGGGACATCCGCGGGACAGCCGCGGGACAGCCGCGGGACAGCCGAGGCGCAGGCGAGGCAAACATGAGGCCAAAATGCTATGGGAGCACTGGGAATGGCCTTCAATCGAGTTGTCTGGCATTGAAGATTCTCCATGGTTCGGATGACGAGGAAGGGAGCGAAGGAGGAAGGAGGGGGGCGAAGGAGGGAAGAGGGAGGAGGGAGGAGCGAGGAGGGAGGGAGGAGGGAGGATGAGGGAGGAACGAGGAGGGAGGGACGAGAAGGGAGGAGGGAGGACCAAGGAGGGATGAAGGGTGGAGGAGCCATGGCAAAGAAACGAATGAGTGAACCCGACGTCGGGGTCACAGAAGCCCCCGCCATCAAAGTGCATATTGGGGCTGGTCTTGTGGGGGGTGATTGCCGTGGGAGGGGGTCCAAGGGCGCGGGATGAGCGGGATGGTTTTTTGCTGATGATTTCTATGTGCTTGTATTGCAATAAAACGGACTGTCATTTTCCCGCACAACCAAAATAGCAACAAACGAACGGGGGAAAGGCGCGCGCCACCTGCATCTTACGGGCGATCCCGCTGGACGCCCGTGAGCGCGAAAACCGCGAAGAGACCCGGGCCGACGAAAAGCGCGAGAGACCCCTAAACCTTGCAAGATCTTGCAGTGCCCACCCAATCGGCCAGGGCAGACGAAGGCGCCCGCGCGGGGCGCGCGCATCATCACAGCGACAACAAAAAACACGCCATGTCCTGAAGCTCGCAGAACGCATCATGGAGCGATGGCGCACGCACAGATCCGCAGTCGAATCGGGTTGAAGCTCGCACGGGCTGCGCTAGAGCAGACCGGCGCGCCCGACACCCAAACGCGCCGAAGCTCTAGCTACTCGCGCACGCAGAAAAGCTGCTCGCTCAATGAAAAAAGCCACGCTCGCAGGAAAGCTGCTCGCCCACAGGGCACGGCTACATGTCGGCTTTTCTTGGGCGGAATTATGCGAAGGGGGGGGTCAGTTTAAGCCGCGGCCTCCTCACTCGCGGCGATGGTCGCCTGGGCAGCGCCGAGACAGAAACTGAGCCAACACCGGACTCGAGGTGATGAGCCTGAAGGAATTGCGATAGGGCTTGCCACTGATCGCATCATGATAGCCATATTGACAACCATGGCCAACTGCTTCATGCACAAAGTCCTGACACCTTAGTTTGATCATCGCGGGCTCGTTCCACGACTGCGCCGACTGCCGCTGCTCGATATAGAAGTGACGGCCGTGAGCCAGTTGATATTCGGCAACCTGAACGCACAGTCGAAGTAGGTGCCGAGCGCTTGCTAACCGTCGCTGGTACTCGGAGTTATAGCTTTGCTTGTTCATGTACTGCAGGATGCTAAACAACGTGCAGGGTGGTGACATGCCAACCCACTCAGGTTGATCCTCAGCTAGTTGTCGCCACATTTCTCGACGGTGATCTGCGCGCCAGAGGTCCCAGCCGGTGGTCAGGTCCAGGGCCTTTGTTGGGCCCGGACCCTTGATCTCGGCCTTCGGACCCACTCGCTCGGGGCTGAACGGCTCGAAGAGCCCCGCGCGCCGTAGCTGCGCGGTGACCGTGGCGATGTCCTTCGCCATTGTCGTCGCTGTCGGCGGGTGAGCTGGCGAGTGGCACTGCCCGATGGAGGATATGCCTCCGCGAGCTCGTCGACCAGGTCCTCGATGATCCCAGCGCCACCCTCAGCATCTGCAATAGACTCAACACGGTACTCGACATGCTCCTGCCGGTCAGCTGGCAGAAGGTCGAGATCCGCTGGTGCTATCGTCGCCATGCACCGATCATGGTTGTCGCCGAGAATGATGAGAGCAGCGTCCTCAGCTTCCCGTAGAAGTGTAGGTGGTGGACCACCAGCCCTGTCGCACGCGGTCGTGTCCTCGATGTCGCCGGCCGACCCCTCGGGAGCAGGGATCACGTTTGGCTGCTTCTCCGTCGCGGCGACCGCCATGTAGATGGCGACCTCAGGGTCGCTGATCATCGGGCCCAGGCTGTCACGGAAACCCTCGGGGTCGAACTCGGTCAGAGAAAGAACGCAGTGGCCACCAGCTCCTGTGGGATGTGCACACCCCGGCAGATCGGCAATAGTCACTGTGTCCCTAGCGGTGTTAATCTGGGACTTCATGGCCTTGATCTGCTGCTTGGACATGAGAGAGGGCGCCGAACCTGGCACCAGGGAGCACTTCGCGACTGCGTTCCTGCCCAGGATCCCGCTCGGCAGCAGCACCTCGCCCACTGACGACTGGCTGCCATCGTTGCCGAAGCGAAAGGGAACCTGCGGGGCATCGGGTAGATGTACTGGCTGTAGTCCATGATCTCGTCGGAGTCGTCGGCAGTGCTGCTCGAAGGTCTCCGTGCCCACCATGCCCTTGGCGCACCCAAGGTCAAAGATCGCGTGACCTGGCGTCGACGAGAGAAAAGCATCCTTTTCGATCTCAGGGCCCCGATCCGGCCCTAGTGAAAAAATTGTTCTTCTGGATAGTTGCACTTGGGATCTCGTCGAACGTCATGTTTCCGATGGGCTTGGTGGATGTCGGCACATCTTCTTTTAGAAAATGCGAAGAATTGACTCTTCGCCGGTTCGGTAATGCTCGTACCTGCCGTGGATTTGCGAGGCTCCTCGCAGTCCTTCTGAAAGTGACCGATCTTCTTGCAATTGTGGCACCTCACCCCTGGGCGATACGCCTCTATATTCGGCTTCGCGAAACCTCGACCAAGCTTGACCTTTCCGTGTAGAAGCCGCTGCTCCTTCCATGAAATCAAGGCGTCAATGAGGTCTCGCTCATCAACAGGTGGGTGGGCATTGTCATGCACTCCGTGGTCGGCCAGCAGCGCGTCGCACTCCGGGTCGCCGTCGTCATCCTCGATGGTCTCGTCGCCGTCGATCTCCTGCTCGGCCACGAAGGCCTTGCGGCGACCCTGGCCGCCCGTAGCCATCTTCCCCAGGCCTGCCCGGCACGTGGTCCTCAGAGCCCTCGCGACGTCAGGCTCCCGCCAAGAGCCGTGGGCTGCGGCCATGACGACCGCCTCCTTCTCTGAGTCCAGGTGGCAGCCCTTGAGAAGCATGATGCCGCGCGCGATCTCTGGCAAAACGATGCCTTCGCGCTCGGCGTCAACGAGGATGGCCTTGGCTCGGGCAGTGTACGCATTGGCCTCCTCATGCTTGTGAGTCTTGAGCCTCAGACAGGCACGCATCACCTCCCTGAGCCGGTCTGAGGCCAGGCGGTCGGGGTATCTGTCGTCCAGGATGGCAAAGATCACGTCATCTCCGCCAGCCTGCTCAATGAGGTCGTCCTCGACGTCCTCGATGGCCCTGAAGGCCGCACCCGTCAGGGGGGTGATCAGTGCTGAGCCTCGAGCATCCTCGTTGATATTCTTGGACTTGATCCATGCTCTTGCCCACTTCCTCCATGCCTTGTACTCGGTGGGCTTCTCGCCCGAGAACCTCCTGACGGCGCCGCTCTGATTGTCTGAGTCGGCCAGGCCGATGAAAATATAGAAGTTGGCAGAAATCCGCGCTCTGCTGGTAGTTGTAGTCCAGAGGCGTCACCACGCCGATGAAAAAAGAAACCGATGTGCACGCCTCGCGCACAGAAAGAGAAAAACACGCTCCGCTCTACCAATGTCGAAATAACACTTGTTACAAGTAAGTGATGTGACTCGTCTGTTTTGCACCACCGCGGAACACTGAGCACAAATGCAACACGTACGGATAGCTAGGAGTGACGAAGAGAAAACCATGGACACCATATCCCTAGATCGTCACCGGGGATGCGCTCTTCGGCACCGGGGATGCCCCAACTTCCTCACGCGCGCCGCACCCACGCGCCCGCCGATGTCCCGTTTCAAAGCTTGCGGCTGCCGACTGTCTCGCGGCGACCGCCTGCTGTGCGGTTGCTACATTCCGAGCTCGCGCCAGGCGAACCCTGGTCGCATTGACAACAAAAAACTCAGTCGCAAAGCTCGCATGCGTCTTTCCCACCCAATGGAGGGCTCCACCGAAGGGGGGGCGCATGGGTTGCTCCACCGAAGGCCGCAGTGGCACGGTTTGCACGCGTTTCCCTCACCCAACGCGGCGCTTCGTGACCCCATGCGGAGCTCCACCGAAGGCCCCAGTGGCAGGGTTCACATGCGTCTCCCCAGCCCAGTACAGCGCTTCGTGGCTCCGTCGGAAGCCCCACCGAACGTCCAAATGGAAGGGCACACGTGGTATATTGCTTCGTGGCCCATACGGAGCTCCGCCGAAAGCCTCAGCTGCAGGGCTCACACGCGGCTTACCCACGCAATACAGCGCTGCGTGGCCGCCCCATGGGGAGCTCGACCGAAGGCCCCAATGGCAAAGTGCGCATGCGCCTCCCCCACACAGCACAGCGCCTCGAGCCCCCCCCCACAGACACACACACACACACACATACACACACACACACCACACACATTGTTTCGTGGTCCATAAGGAGGTCGACCGAAGGCGATACCCACAACTGCGGTGCTCACAAATGCATCTGATTGGGTCCTTCACCATGCTTGGCGTTTCCGCTTCTTCTGGTTCCCAACGCTCCGGGACGGCCCAAAGGGCGCCCAGCTCGACCCGAGACGGTGCCGAGACTGCCCCAAAGGCCATGAAAAACGACCCGTGGGACGTGCACTACGGATAAACAAGGCCCCAAGAACGCCCCAGATGGGACCCCAAAGGGGGACAAGGCAAAGGCCCATACCTTCTAAGAAACAGGGGTGCTTCAAAGAAGCCTTCCCCCTTCCCCCAACCCCCCTCTAAAAAAGGCCGACATCCTCATCTTCCGAGCCCCCTCCCTAGTCAAAGCTAGGATAGCCAATCTCGGTGCACACAGCATGGGTACCGATACCGCTACTCTCTGGACCTCTCCCAGGGTGCGTTCTGACCCGAATTTCGAGGCGAATCCAGCGGTGGCGACGAGGGCCTCCGAGGAGGCCCCAAAAAGGGGGAAAGCGGGCGGAGGGTCGCGGTCTGGGTACCTTTTCCTCCTCCGAGTGACGCCGAGTCCAGGGCAACTCTAGGCACTACTCGGGTTAGGTCGGGCCTGTCCCCCTACAGGCCGATCTTGGAGTTAAAATGAAACATAATCAAAAAATACTCCCAAAGTGATCCAAAGTGGTAAACAGAAATCGTCCCCAGACTATTCCCTGACGATTCTCGAATACCCCTCCTGCAAAAAAAGGACAGGCACGACCTCACTCGCGGCACGCCTCGGGCCGATCTTGGGGTAACGATGGAAGATAATCAGAAAGTGCCCCAAAGTGATCCAAAGTGGTAAACAGAAATCGCCCCCAGACTATTCCCTGACGATTCTCGAATACTCCTCCTGCAAAAAAAGGACAGGCACGACCTCACTCGCGGCACGCCTCGGGCCGATCTTGGGGTAACGATGGAAGATAATCAGAAAGTGCCCCAAAGTGATCCAAAGTGGTAAACAGAAATCGCCCCCAGACTATTCCCTGACGATTCTCGAATACTCCTCCTGCAAAAAAAGGACAGGCACGACCTCGCTCGCGGCACGCCTCGGGCCGATCTTGGGGTAACGATGGAAGATAATCAGAAAGTGCCCCAAAGTGATCCAAAGTGGTAAACAGAAATCGCCCCCAGACTATTCCCTGACGATTCTCGAATACTCCTCCTGCAAAAGGACAGGCACGACCTCGCTCGCGGCACGCCTCGGGCCTCCCCCGGCGGCGCCGCCCCGGCGCCTGCGCGCACTGCCCGCGGTTGGCGGAGCGGCCGCCCCACGCCTGGCGCCCGCCGGCGTCCGCCGACGCGCCCGCCGCGGGGGGCTGCCGCCAGCGCCGGCGCCGCCGCCGGCGCCGAGCCCTGGCTCTCCACCTCCCCAGAGATCCAACGCACTGATAAACTTAAGACGGAGGTTTTTCGCAAGCTTCGGCACCCAGGGGCCCTCGCCGGGCCTCGGGACCGTCAGAAAACGACTCGGGATGAAAAGCCGGTCCTGGGGAGTGGGTCGAGACTTCCAGGGCCCCCGCATGGAAAACATCACGGCATCGGATCTCTGGGTCTCCACGCTCAGGATCAGTCGGCGTGCGAATGTGGAGAACAGGATATCCGCCGACCCTGTCGGCATGTGTGGGGTGTCTGTCTGGTCCCGTCGACGGGGAGCCCTCTGTCGTCGCCACCTTCCCATCTTCCTCTTCCGTCGGGGGAGAAGAGAGAGAGAGAGAGAGAGAGAGAGAGAGCATCCTTCCTCGTTCGGGGAACGGCTTCGCAGCTTGAGGGAATTCCATCCACGTCCTCATTACGCTCAAGATCAGTCGGCATGCGAATGTAGAGCACAGAACGTCCACCCGCGTAAGCATAACCCCCGACACGCGAAGTCGCTTCGTAAACGCACCCAAGGAAGGAATCCAACAGGGCAGGGCCGTTTATCAAACGCCCAGGGCCATCAAACGAAAGCCAATTATCGGGTCTGGGTGGTTCTTCCTCCCTCGACAATGGGCGCGCACCAAAGGTCACTTCGGCGAAGGGTCACTCTTACGGGCGGTCGAGCAGATGGGGTGGCGCGCACTATGGTGCTCTCTGACCCGCGAGCCCTGACTCTCCACCTCTCGATGATCCTCAGAATGTGTGTTAACGCCGACGTGTGTTTACCCACTGAGGCCCTTCACTACGACGAAGGCGATGTGATGATCGACTGGCTGGGTTGAACGGGGTAAACACACATCGGGCTAACACACGTCCTGAGGATCATCGAACCTCTCCACCTTCCACGCTCAAGATCAATCGGCATCGGATTGGGAAGCCGGATCAAGTCGGACCGTGCGTCGAAAGGACCGCATCGGCACGGAGTCGAGATCGAATGGGATCGGCTGCCCAAGCATGCACAACAATGCCGTGAAATTAAGCGACGGGTCCGGATCGGCGGAACATCGGACTGAAATCGCCTCGACCTGAACGAAACCGACACCAAATCGGATCGATCGGATCAACATGGACCCTGACACAAGAGGGCTCCAAGCTAGGGTCAGAGTGGATGGGGTTGGAGGACCGCGCCGCCTCGTTGACGCCTCGGCGATGCATCGGCGACGTCGCCGATGCATCGGAGATGTCGGCGCCGCCGCTGAGAAAAACGGGCTCCACACCGAGCCGCTGCATGCAATTCGTTGTCCCCCTCAGAGAGCTTCCGCTGAAATTCTGGATTTCCGAAAATCACCACAACGCCGACGCCAGGGCATGGAACAAAACACGTAATTACACGAATCTGCCTTGATAGCGGATCCGCGAGACCTGTGCTGAGCATGCCATCGTAATTTTAGGGCTCTTTCGACGATGAATGGCCGACAGGAGGCGAAGGTGGTGATGAATGGGCGATGATTGGGTGATTACCCCCTCTACCTATCCCTCCCGAGCGTTGCCATTGACCTCTTCGATGCCTCGGTTTTGTCGGCTCATAACTATGGCTTCCAGCGGCTGTTCGGGATGACTCGGGCACCCTCGGAAACGTTCTCGGCGAGGCGCAGCTCCTGGAAGGCATCCCGAGACTGGAAAGCCGACGAGAGCCGACGAAAATACTTGAATACCTTGAACGTTGAGTATATCCCCCCTGACGCTTCACGAAGCCACGTCTCTATCAGGAGATCGTCGTGACCGCAAGTGTGATCGAAATCTACCCGATTGTGACAGAAACTGGCGCCCGACTTGCTCGAAACGATTTCAAGCGTGACCAAATTTATTCCTTCGGACTTCGAAACCACTGCGATGCTCAATTTCAATAACACCGTCGGCTGCAACAACTTTTCGGCCACGGTTACGGGCACCGACCTTTTCGGCCACTTGCTGGGCGATAGAGGCCGGGCGCCATGAGAACATTGACCCGGCTGGAAGAACACGATACCTATACGACCACCCTTCGGGTGATAAGGAGGTTCGAGGGGGAGGAACCAACGTCTCATTCGATCGGTCTCACTATCGATCTCACTATCGATCTCACTATCGGTCTCGCTCGATCGATCTCACTCGATCGATCTCACAATCGATCTCACTCGATCTATTTCATTCGATCGATCTCACAATCGATCTGACTATCGATCTCACAATCGATCTCACTATCGATCTCACTACCGATCTACATTCGGTCTAACAATCGATCTCACTATCGATATCGCCATCGATATCACAATCAACGTCAACATCATCATCATCATCAGCATCGTCATCAACGTCATCAACATCATCATCATCATCAGCATCACCGGGACACCATCATCACCATCACCTCATCCCCGTCATCATCAACATCATCATCATCATCATCAGCATCATCATCATCATTATCACCAACACCATCACCATCACCATCACCATCATCATCATCATCATCATCATCATCATCATCGGGACACCATCATCGTCACCATCATCATCATCATCATCATCATCATAATCATAATCATCATCATCATCTCATCATCATGATCATGAGCAACATCATCAACATCATCATCGGGGCACCATGATCATCATCATTAGCAACATCAGCATCATCATCAACAGCATCATCAGCATCATCGGAAAACCATCATCATCATCGGGACACCATCATCATCAACGTCAGCATCAGCACCATCATTGGGCCACCATCATCAAGCCATCATCATCAACTCATCATCATCCTGGTCATCAAAATCATCATCATCATCATCGGGACACCATCATCGTCATCATCATCATCATTATCATCATCATCGGGACACCATCATCATCACCATCATCATCAACCGCATCATCATCATCATCATCATCATCATCATAATCATCATCAACATCATCGGGACACCATCATCATCAAATCATATGATCATCATCAACATCATCAGGATCATCAACATCATCATCACCAACGGGGCACCATCATAATCAGCAGCATCATCATCAACATCATCATCATCGGGGCACCATCATAATCACCACCATCACCATCATCAACATCAACATCAACAACATCATCATCATCAACATCATCATCATCATCATCGTCACCGGGACACCATCATCATCACCACCATCACCACCATCACCACCATCATACTCATCATCATCACCGTCAGCATCATCATCATCATCATCATCAGCATCAGCATCATCATCATAATCAGCATCAGCATCAGCATCAGCATCAGCATCAGCATCATCATCAGCATCAGCATCAGCATCAGCATCATCATGATCATCATGATCATCATGATCATCATCATCATCATCATCATCATCATCATCATCATCATCATCATCATCATCATCATCATCATCATCATCATCGGGACACCAGCGGGACACCGGCGGGACACTGCGCGCCACCGGCCCCCGAGCGGGAGACCAGCGGGACACCGCGGGGCACCGGTTGCCGGAAGGTAGACTTTTGGTCCGGCCGCGCCTCAGCTACAGGAGACGTATTTCTCGCCCGCCCACGCAGCTTCGCCTCGCCCGCACGCACGGCACGCACGAACACGACACCGAAACCGATTTCCCAATAGGGGGGCTCTCCGTGCCACTTCGATCTCACCCCCTCACCTCCGATCGCATGAGCATGAACTCTCCACGGGCCGCCCGGAAGACTTGGACCGTCGTCGGACCCCCACCCTGGCGCGCGGAGCGCGCCAGGGATAGGTCGGGCATGTCTCCCTATAGTCTATAGTTAAACATATTTTCCAAGATGCTGAACAAATTCTCGCACATCGTCTCCGTAGTATTCTTTGACTACTTGCGAATGTTCCTCCTGTAGAGGGACAGGCCCGACTTAACCCTCCCTGGCGCGCGGAGCGCGCCAGGGGCGGCGCCAGAGGCGCCGCCACGGGGGCCCAGCGCCGATCCGAGAAATCCACGCGGACCGTGGAGAGTTTGTGGTTATTCAGGAGAGATAAGAAAGTACCACTGCCACCAGCTAGGGGGGTAGCCGCTTCCTCCTCCTCCTCCTCCTCCTCCTCCTCCTCCTCCTCCTCCTCCTCCTCCTCCCCCTCGCTCCCCCTCCCCCTCCTCCTCCTCCTCCTCCTCCTCCTCCTCCTCCGAGTGACAAAGAGTACCACTACCACCAGCAAATTAGGGAGGAGGCCGCTTCCTCCCCTCGTTCTGGTGGCACCTCCTTCCGGGAACTCTCTGGGGGCATGCCCGGAACGAGGTGCCACCAGCTCGCGAGGGTGGGACAGCCACCCCCCTCTAGCTGGCGGTGGTGGCACCTTTGCTTCTGGTGAGTTCTGCCGCATGCGGGGGGGAGGCGCCCAGGGCGGGCCTCCGAGGAGAAGCACTGGCCGCTGTACGACACGCACAGCGCCCCGTGCACGAAGGCCTCCAGCTGCACGCCGGGCGCGCCGGTCGAGACCTGCCCGCCGCTAGCAGGAGATCCAAAACACCGGCGCCGTGGAAGGTACAAGAAAAAACAAACTGCAGAAACATCATTACTCCCGGATGGTTTGAAATGGAATCGATACAGAGATCGATAAGGAGATCGACTGGGAACCTGGGAACCCGGAGCCCAGCGAAATCGGCCAGGAACCACCGGCCATGCAAGAGCCCGTGAGCCCCGAACCATGAACCCGTGAACCCAGCCGGCCACCAAAATCGGCGGGAAACTTTCGCCAAATCTTTCAATATCTGCTAGGACCCCTTCAGTGCAAGCACTGATTGGGAGTTGAACTCTCGAAGATCCGCGCGGATTTCTCGGATCTGCGCTGGCGCCTCTCCAGCGCCGCCCGTGGCGCGCTCCGCGTGCCAGAGAAGGAGGTCCAGCGCAGATCCAAGATAACCCCGCGCACCGTCGAAAGTTTGTGTTTACTCATGTTTCTTGTTCGAACGTCGATGGTAGGGACAGCGCAGAGCTCAGAGAAGTGTTCGACTAACGTCGGTCGTTTGCAGACAAACATCCGAACGCCCGGGTGGTCTCCAACAGCGGCGCCACGTCGAAAACATTCTGGGAAAGCTTGGAGCGTGACAAAAAACCGCCGGAAACCAAAATTACGGGCCCCAGGGAACGGGTCCAGACCCCTGTGGTGATGTTGCCCCCATCGTACTGAAGGACCACATCCGAGAAATAATTTCGAGCACCTGGAAAAGTGCCGAAAGGATGTCGAAACAGTGTCGAACGAATGTCTCCCAAGGCCCAACACGTGAAAACCCTCGAGTTTCGGTACTTCTTTGGTGCTCGAAATTCTTTCTGGTGGTCAAGGCTAAAATAGGTGGAACATCATAACCCTGGGGCAAAACCGTGAACTCGGGATCTCCAGCAAGACCTCACCGCCTCACCGCACGGCCTGGAGGCCCCCAAAGAGCCCCATCGCCCGAGGCGTCCTCGGAAGACGGCCCCAGTCCGACAACCGTGCGGGCAAACTGGATCCCCACTGGACTGGCATCTTCGTCCTGAGTTGGGACGCGCAGGGACATACTAATACTATACGTCCTCCTTGCAGGCGCGCGTCTGACCCCGTAGTAGATCGTAGTAGAGCGTATATAGTAGACCCATCTTGTAGTAGATCGTTACCCGAGCGGTGTGGCCAGAAAGCGCCCGCCACGACGCATGTACTATAAGATTTCTCGGTGCGCGCATCGCCCCCGGGGGGGCGACGCACATATAGTATAAGTATGTTGGGGTGACGCCGACAAGTCGTTTCGTGGACGGTCCCAAGGGTCTGGCAACGGGCCCCTGGACCCTGGAGGCCGTAACAAGAAGCCTCCCGTCGTGTCATCAATACACCGAGGAGGCGTGCTCTCAAGCCCGTGCCTTCTCCAATACGCGCGTCAACGTTTCGCCCCTGGTGGGGCTCGCCGGGCCCCGACTGAAAATGCAAGAGGCATGCGAACACAGCAAGTGCTATGTTGCTCCCATCGCACTCGAGGACCAACTCCCCAAACAAATTCGAGCTTCCAGAAAAGTAGTTATTGAAACAGTGTCGAACGAGTATCGCTTCCCAGAGCCCGACACTTGAAACCAGTGCAGTTTCTGTACTTTCTTGGTGCTCGAAATTATTTCTGGTGGTTCAGGCTCAAGTACGTTGGAACATCATAAAGCAAGTACAGAATCGACACAATGCTGCGTACTGACTGAAAAAAGGGCACGGGCTTACGAGCGCCATACGAACAAGGTATGCGAGCAGGCGGAGGCACAGATCCTGTCTCTCCACATTTTCCCACACCTTCCGAGCATGCACCTGGCTGATCTAATGATTCTCTCGAGGGACAACAACAGCATAAACAAATGAACGCTGTCGGAGCTCAGCGCCGATGTTCTGGATCGGCGGCGGCGCCTTCGGCGCGTCGTCGGCGTGAGAACATCGGGTTCCACGCCGAGCGATCTTTCGACACCATTTCTAGAGGAACATAATTCGGCGGTGGACAAAACCTCCCTTTAGTAAACAACCCTTTAATGAAAACGGCCTAAGACCGAAACCGACGGACCCAGACCCGCAAAAATGACGGACGCGACGCCCTCTCGCGAACCTAAAACGGCCAATTCGCTAATCGATACAGCATCAATCTGACACGTGATGTGTCGGAGGCGTGTGCGGATCTCTTGGATCGGCTCTGGACCCACCCGCTGGCGCGCGGAGCGCGCCAAGGGGAACGGCACCAGAGGCGCGCCACGGGTACCCCGGCGTCGACCGAAGAAATCCGTGCGGACCTCTCAGAACTGATCTTTGTGCCATCTCGTGCTCTTGGGATTTCTACCCTGAGCGCCTGGCTGCTGCTGCCCGCCCGGCTGCTAATTGTCGAACTTCGGCGTCTGAGCGTCCCCCGTTCCTCTCGGCCGTCCCCCTTCCCTATTTGCTCGCCGGCCGATTCGCTAGTCAATGCCCTTATCTAACTTCTCGCTGGTGCGGATTTCGCCGCCTCGCTGCTGACGGAACAATTCTTGGGGTCTCCGACCCCATCTATTCGCCCTAGATCCTCCCAATGCCCAGCAGCTGCTGGCTGTCCAAGACTGCCACCTGAGGGGCACCAGAAAGCACGGCCTCCAAGGTTCTCGGAAGTGACAAGTCGGCTACTTTTGTCCGCGGTCGTGTTGCAGACCGCCTTCCGGCTCTTTCGTAATGTTTGTCTGCGGTTCCGTCGCGCTGTTTTTCCTTTCCTGGCTCCGGCGCCAATCCCCGATCGATCTTGTTGTCACTTACGGTCTTGTTGTCAGTTTCTATGGAAGCGGTACACGCCGGTCGGAAGAAGTAGGTAAAACAATGGAGCGCACTTTTTTAACGCGTGGCGTTGGCGGGCGTTACGGGGGAGGGGGGGTGGCGGGGGGGAAGCGTAACCTGACCTTGCCATCGCTCGGACGTCCATTCATTCCCCGTGCATTTATCGGTCTCGTGCGTGCGTTGTTGGCTCGATGATCCAGGATGCTCCTTGCTGGTTCTCGCCTGGAAAAATTCCACACGACCGAGCGATGCCAAAGAGAGGGGGGCGGGGGGACTGCAGTGAAGGGCCCCAGGGACACACACGTAAATAAACACTAATCCAAGGATTTTCCATATGCTCCTACATGTTCTGGGGCTCCGTCGTCCCACCTGGGGCCCATATTTTCCTATATTAGGAAAACAAAACATGTCATAAACATAAAAAACTCGGAGGTCCGCGCGGATTTCTCGGATCGGCGCTGGGACCCCCCTCCCTGGCGCGCGGAGCGCGCCAGGGGCGGCGCCGGAGGCGCCACCGGGGGGCCCCAGCGCCGATCCGAGAAATCCGCGCGGACCTCCGAGTTGTTTATGTTTATGTCGCTTTCTGTTCCCCGAAATATTCTCCTGGGACACGACGATGAGTTGTGTCTACGTGCTTCGTTCCCTCCTGAGGCATGACGCAACGCTCCCCCCTCCCCACCCGGCGTGCGGGCCCTGCACCGCAGGGCGGGTGCGGCGCAGGACCCCAGAGAGCATTCAACAAAAAAATCGCTGCGAGAACGGGCGTTACGGAGAGGGAAATGGGGTTCGGGGGGGAGACATAACTAGGGGAGCGAACAGTGGCATAAACATAAGAACTCGGAGGTCCGCGCGGATTTTTCGGATCGGCGCTGGACCCCCTCCTTGGCGCGCGGAGCGCGCCAGGGGCGGCGCCGGAGGCGCCGCCAGGGGAGTCCAGCGCGGATCCGAGAAATCCGCGCGGACCTCCGAGTTTTTATGTTTATGTCAGTGTTCGTTCCCCTAATAACGTAATTTAGGAGCCAACTACCAAGAGGTCTTCGTTGGAAGGATTATGGGAGGTGGATGGAACGCTGGATCAGGCCGTGGATTAGGCGGGACTAAGTGGGATATTGCGGGATCAAGCGAGATTAAGCAGGATGAGGCCAGGGTGGGCGGGGGGAGGTATAACTAAGACGGAGCCAGGACGAAGATAAATTCGGGTGAGGAAAGATCGAGAATTTCTGAGATCCGGCGGCTCTGGAGGACGTCTCGGGCGCCGCGGCCTTAGAGCGTTCTGGAACGCTCTGGAAAGATATATCATCGCCCTGGCCACGTTCAAATGACGCAACCCCCCCCCACTCCCGTGCGGGTCCTGAACCGCACTGTGGGGCCGGACGCACTGCGGCAGTGCCTGGGACGCACTGGGGTGGGTGGGAGGCGGCACATTCTGGGGAGGGGGGAAGCGGAGCGGGGAGGGGGGGGGCATGACACGCGCTTCCCGGAGATCCGACGTTGCAACAAAACATTGCAACGTCGAAAAAAATCATCTGCGTCATGTTTCGAGCCGGATCGATCTATAAGGGGCCCAGGGCCCGAAATTGAGCGAAAACGCCTGTTGTGAAAAAATTGCAACGCCAGGATCGCAGGGTCGGCCCAGAGAATAACCCGACGGGGCCTGCGCCATCTCCTTCACGCTCAGCTCGCGCCCGAGCACCACCCGGGCGACGCCCAGCTTCTCGGCCGCAAAGCGGGCGCCGGAGGCGGAGGTCACCTGCGGGGGGGGCACTGTGCTGCCCTAGAGCAGGCCACGGAAACCTGCCGCCTCCGTGCAGTTGTCCCAGAGCCCTCCTGCGTTGGGGCCTCGTCTGGCCATCGCTCGGACGTACGTTCCCTGTGTTCTTTTTCGGTTTCGTGCGTGGCTTTTTCGCCAAATGATCAAGGATGCTCCTCGATGGTCCTCGCCGAAGGAAAAATGCACACGTCCGAGCGATGCCAAGTCGTTGAGAATAGAGCACTGCGGTCGCACACCTCCTTCTTCTCCTCCCCCCTCCTCCTGCACTGCTCCCTGGGCGGCTGCGCATTGTGCACCTGTCAGCACTTTCGTGGGATCCTGGGGAGGACGGTGGAGTAGCAGTGTAACCGAGACGTCCTGGATGGCTGGAAACTGCGCAACGGTCTCCAATTTCGTGGGATCCTGAGAGGCAGGGCGGAGCAGGAGAGTACCCGAGACATTCTCGCAGCTCCCTGAGTGGCTGCGAACTGCGCACCTGTCACCACCGTCGTGGGATCCTGGGAGGCACGGCGGAGAAGCAGAGTACCCGAGACCTCGCAGATCAACTGGTGACTGTGAACTGCACAACTGTCGCCACTTCCGTGGTGGGCTCCTGGGAGGCACGGCAGAGAAGCGGAGTACCCTACACCTCGCAGCTCCCTGGATAGCTGCGACCTGCGCAACTGTCACCTCTATCGTGGGCTCCTGGCAGGCACGGCGGAGCAGGGAAACTCCCGAGACCTCGCAGCTCCCCGGATGGCAGCGAGCTGCGCAACGGTCGCCACTTGCGTGGGCTCCTTGCAGGCACGGCGGAGCAAGGGAGTACCCGAGAGCTCGTAGCTCCCTGGGTGGCTACGAACTGTCGCCACCTTCGCGGGCTCCTGGGAGGCACGGCGAAGTGGCAGAGTACCCGAGACCTCGCAGCTCCCTGGGTGGCTGCGAATTGTGCAACTGTCACCACTTGCGTGGGATCCAGGGAAGCACGGCGGAGTAGCGGTATAACTGAGACTTCGCAGCTCCCAGAGTGGCTGCGAAATGCACAGCTGTTGCTACTCTCATTGGTTCCTGGCAGGCACGGCTGAGTAGCGGAGTACCCTAGACCTCCCAGCTCCGTGGATGCCTGCGAACTGCGCAACGGTCACCACTTTCGTGGGCTCCTGGGAGGCACATCGGAGTGGCGGAGCAGCCGAAAACTCGCAACTCCTAGGGCAGCTGCGAACTGCGCCACGGTCGCCACTTCCGTGGCCTCCTGGGAGGCACGGCGGAGAAGGGGAGTACACGAGACCCTGCAGCTCCCTTGGTGGCTGCGGTCTGCGCAACGGTCGCCACTTTTCGTGGGCTCCTGGGAAGCACGGTGGAGCAGCAAAGTACCCGAGACCTCGCAGCTCCCTGGGTGGCTGCGAAAGGTACAGGTGTCGCCACGTAAGTGGGGCACGGCGGGGCAAGGGAGTACTCTAGACCTCGCTGCTCCTTGGGTGGTTCCTAGCTGCGCAACTGTCGCGGGCTCCTGGGAGGTACGGCGGAGTAGCGGAGTACCCTAGACCTCGCAGCTCCCTGGATGGCTGCGAACTGCGCAACGGTCGCCAATTTCGTGGGCTCATGGAAGGTCCAGCGGAGTCGGGGTCCACGTTGATCCAGCCGAGAACTCGCGGCTCCAGGGAGGCTACGAACTGCGCAACTTGCGTCGCTTGCGTGGGCTCCTGGGAGGCACGGCGGAAATGAGGGCAGCACATATCGTGCGTATCTGGCGATGTGTCCTGCTATATGGAGCGTTGATACAAAGATTCGCTGCGCGAGGCAAAGGGATTGGATACGTCCCGGGTAGTTTAAGTAAATGACCCGCGAGCGCCAGTTGAGGAGGGGAAGGAGGAAAAGCTGAGGGGAATGAAGCTGCGACGAGAGCCGACAGCAGTGCAGAGATGAAGGCAAACACCTGCAAACACATCCGCCGACCCCTCGCGAGTCTCCAAAGCGCGTGAACTTGCCCTCCCCCTATATTATTCCCCCCCCCCCTGAGACCCAAATGCGGGCGCTTGACTCCCCCCCTCATGGCCGACGCGCACCCCTCGGTGAACTCACCAGGGGGGGGGGGTCGCGGCTCATCCGGGGATTTGGCTCCAAGAGGGCCCCAATGGGGCAATGGGGCCAAGAGGCCCCCAAAACGGCCCCACAGGGCCCTCAGGGGAGGCCTCGGAGGAGTAGCACGAACCGACATTTCGAGCCCTTCGCCCGAAGATGGCCTCCGAGACCGAGATGCCCCTAGGAGCCTCCCCACAAGCCCGAGATGCCCCCAAGAGGATCGAATTAAGCCTCAAGATGCCCCGGCCCCCCCCAAAACACCCCGAACCCGAATCCAAGAGCTTGCGAGAGGCCTCCGTAGAGATCCCCACAGGCATCCAGAAGCCTCTGACCTACATCCCTGACATGGTCGCGAGATGGACCGAAGGCCACTCGATGTATCCGGCGCTCCCTGTGGTTTGCCACAGGGGTACACGGCGTGCTAGATGTCTGGGAGGTTTTTGGTTATTTTCTGAAGAACTCCCCTGGGGCTTCGGACCAGCCCGCACCGGCAACCCGAAAAGCCGCCGACAGCTTGGGAAAAACATGCGCGCCGTGGTCTTCCCTTCTAGGACGCCCCCAAGACGGCCTCCACGACAGCCAAGATGGACACCAAGACGGCCAACATGGTTCCAAGAGAGCCCAAGATGCACCCAAGACGGTCCAAGATGGCCAAAAACGGCCCAAGAGGCCTCCAAGACGGCCCAAGAGGCCTCCAAGAGGTCCGCCAGGAAGGCCCGAAGAGGCCCAAATCATGCATCCGCCCCCGTTTGTTCAAGGATGTCGGCACCCGCCCCTCGTCGACCTCTGATGGCCCAAGAGGGCCCGAGAGGCTACCAGGAACGCCCAAAGAGCGCCCAAGAGGCCTGCACGATGCCTCTAAGACAGCCCTGAAGCGCCCCAAGAGGGCCTCCAGTTTCGGGGGCGCGCAAACATGGATTTGCGATCCATGGGTTTGGCGCGCGGTCGCCAAATCCATGGATCGGGGGATGTGCCCTCCCCAAATATGCGGCCGGTGGCGCCTCGTTCGGCGGCGGAAATCGGCAATTTCCCACGGAAACGGGACCCGTTGCTAATCCACGCCCCCTTGATCCATGTTTGCGATCGCCTGACAGTTGGCCCAGAGAGGTCCCCAAGACGGTTTCCGACCGCGTAGGACGAGCCAGGAACGCCCTCAGACGGCAAAAGAGCCTCCCAAGGAGCCTCCAAAGGCTCCCAGGAGGCCCATGGAAGCTCCCGAGAGGCCTCCAAGAGGCCCCCAGGAAGATCCCAGGAGGCCCCAGAGTGCCCCGAGAGGCTCCCACTCCACTTCTTGTTTCTCCCCTACGTGTTCCCCCCAAGGGTTTCCACAGCGACTGGGGAAACACATGGTCCGATAGCTTGGCCGTGCTCTGGCCGCACCGTTCGGCCACACAGGCGCTTCAAAAGGCAGGGGGCGGCGGTTAAAGGCCACGATCGGTCGTGGGATCAATCGTGGAATCGATAGTGAGATTGGTGGTGAGGTCGATTGAGTGAAATCGATCGTGAGATCGATGATATTGCAATGTGTAGCAAGATCGATCGTGAGATCGATCGTGATATCGATTGCGTGGAATCGGTAATAAGATCGATCGCGTGTTCGGTAGTGCGATCGCTAGTGCGATCAATTGCGTAGTCAACAGGGATATCAATAGTGATATCGATAGTGATATTGATTGAGCGACATCGATGGTGAAATCGATAGCGCCACCGAGGATGACACCGTAGTGAGGCCTGTGGTGAGAGCGATCGTAAGATCGATCGTGAAATCGATGGGGAGATCGGTGGTGATATCAATAGCGTGATCGACAAGAAGATCGACTGTGAGATCGATAATGGAATCGGTGATAAAACTCAGAATGAGATCGATCGAATGAGATCGATGGTGAAATTGATGCTGTCATCGATAATGAGATCGACCAAGAACCAAAGAACCGGGGGAACTAAAAACAAGAACCCAAAAAAAACCCAACGCCCACCGACATCGGCCCGGAACGAACAACCGTGAACTGGGAATTTGGAACTGAAAATCTGGGAACCCGGCCGCCCACCGAAATCGGCCAGCGACTTTCGCCAACTCTTCCAATATCCGCCAGGACCCCTTCGAAGCTAACCAAAAACTGTCCCAGGGAAGGGGTTCTGATCTCCTATCACCAGCCCTGAACTCATCCCTATCTCTAAGATTGACACGCCAAAACGCGATGACAATCGTAGGGATGCGCCACGAGAAGTCGCGTCGAGGCTGGGCCCGCGCTAACGCAGGGCACAACCGTCGACTGGCGCAGGCCCAGGCCAGGCGGTGGGGTGAGCGCGAGTCGGCGTCGCGGAGCCGAGCAACCTCGCCGACGCCTCCCCCAAGCCTGGCGCTGGGTCAGCCCAGCCTCGACACAACTAGCAGCCACTGCGACGCCAGTGCGCTCGCGCAGCAGGGTCGGGCGGGTGGGGAAAAACGCATCCCGCCAGCGGGACGGCCACGCGTGAGACAAATCCCATTCACCTGCGACGAGAACGCGCTCGCGGGCGCGCAGGGTGGGGATCCGCCTCAGCCGTGAATAGCCGTCCCGCAGCATTAGAGACAAGCAAGAAGATAGCCAATAGGGGCCACGACGCTCGCGCGACTTCTCCCCGCGCTCAAATGCTGCCCAGAGCGCCCATGAGAAGTCGCGTCGAGGCTGGGCCCGCGCTAACGCAGGGCACAACCGTCGACTGGCGCAGGCCCAGGCCAGGCGGTGGGGTGAGCGCGAGTCGGCGTCGCGGAGCCGAGCAACCTCGCCGACGCCTCCCGATGCATGCTCGGCGGAACGACGCCCAAGCGCGCTCTAAGCAGACCGCAGATGCCTGGTCTGCTTGACTCACGGCCTGGGCGGCCCCTGCACCGCTTCCGCGGCGATCGGCGCGTCCTGCGCGCCACGCGCCGCCGCGGAGCCCCGACCCCGATGCCTG